AAGAGCTCAATTTTCTAATAAACAGTATATCAACGACTGCAAAGCTGACACATACATAGCTTATTTCAGGGTAACACACTACTCTGTTAAACATATTATAAATTCTCAAACCTACAATTAAATTGCTGGATGTTTAAATGATCCTTTAGCTATGAACCAGTGTAAAAATGGTGAAAGAATCCACTTTTATATTTACTTGTAACTGCGGTTTTATTTTGGAAAGGGCAACATTCCCACTTTAGAGGTTCCCCACTGTGATGGTTTCATCCTAGTCTTTTAGAAATGTTGCTACATCTATGAGTCAAATTTTTTTGTTAATTACAGACTGCATTATGCACGTCACACATGTATACATAATTTCTTAATTTCACTACGTAGCTTAATTACTGATAAATGGGCTGAATCAAGAGTTCATTTGTTACCTGTGGAGAATGCTACAGACCCAGAAACTCTGCTGAGATCCCGTTCTCTGAATACACTTCACACTTCACAAAGATGAAATGCATACAGGAAATGGCACCACAAGCTTTCCTTGAAACAGTTACTCAGCCTTTTCAAAAACACCATCTCTACAGAAAGCGGTCAACTTCTGTTGCAATTTATTACTTGCCTACTTTACCGACACTAACACCACAGACATTTAATATGAAGCAGATACCTCACTAGCAAGTGTAGAACCTCTTTTATACAATTCAGAGAAAATAAGAAAGTGAATTCTAATTCAAAAAACAGACAGTGAGGCTAACAGGCTCCACATTCCCCTGCCACGCTTATAAACCATGTGAACAGTACTACTGACATAGAGAAAACTTTTTAAAAATCATGTTATAACACTGTTTTAGTTTCGAATAACCATGTTTTGCACAAGATGTTCCAGTATTACCTCAGTCTTTGTTGCAGTGTATATGCAGTTAAGCACATATGTATGCCTGTACCACAGCCCACCCTCAATTCTTCATTAAAGTAACATGCACCATTAACTAAATAAGAAATGATGCAGTTTTGAGGAAGAAAACAATATTGTATCAAGCTGCATAACCCATTTGGTAAAAGTGAATCAAACTGCTAGGATATCTTCCTATAGAACACTTCATTACATCCACAGGTATGTCTTGGAAGAAAGACATTTAGGCCGAAATGAAAAAGAATAAGCTCTATCTTTAAGTTCTAACACACACATACACAAAACACCCTTACTTACACACTGTAATCCCTACGGATTTTTACTGGCATTATAATATTTTTGTGCAAGTAACTCTGTGGGACTGGTTGCTAGATATTAATTTTGAAAGATCATATGGAAACAAAATATTGGTAATGATTACATCATGACGACAACGTAGTGTCAAAAACAACTATGATATTCAGCTTCCCATGAAATATTCACATTCCTCCTAGATGAAAAACATAGTCTCAACATTTCATGTTAAAGAAGCAACAGAAAGATATAAAAGTTATTCCTTTTTAAAGAACCTCTTCTGCAAAGGTAGGTAGTTACTCTTTGATTTATGATAATCTCCTTTATCCTGAGAGTAGTTAATACACAGATATTTAACAATAAAGAGTGATAGGCAGGTTTTACCTAGTGTACGTTTTATTTGCATCTAGGTCATCAACTTCAGGAAACTGAAAATGTGTTTACAAATGAGAGACTTCAAACGGTGACTTGCTTATCAAGCCTCAGAGTAGTCAGTCTATGAGTAAACTGAAATTGTATACCTGAGTGGAGTTAGATAGTTGGTTTTTCCACGGCTCCTCTGCGCTGCTGGTCAGGTTTGTGCGGTTATGAGGTAGAGAGAGTGCGTTTCGCTGCAGGTAAGGCACGTTTCCATTACTTCCACTTTCTGTTATGTGATTATTGCCTATCAAAATAGTGTCTGTACTACTCAGCGTTCTTGCTGTGCTGCAGGGAATGGGGCCTGCTGGAAAGGGTCCATTAGCCATAGGCTGCCCGGGGCAGGCAGGACGGATTCCACGCTGAGCGACATTAGGCACTCTGGTTAGAGCAACCTGCGGCTGCTGACCAGAGACAGAGTTTGTAGGCAGTGATGAATCAGCTGTTGGCCCATTAGGAATTCCAGTAGATCGTACCTGTGCAACTCCTGTTTGTCTCATCTAATGGAAGATGAACAAAGCACAAGAACATTAGCTGCATAATTTAAAAAGTAAAGAGTACACAAGGTTTGTATACTTTATTGTAGTGGTCAATTCCAATTTTGTACAGATTTTAAGATCTTCACACCGTTGCTTTTGAGAAATAAGATGACTGCCACGCTCACAAATGTGCTCAGTGAATTTTAAGGTAAATCTATCGGCACACTTTTCTTCTAGGCCCTTCAGTGTTAGCATTTTACTGCTAAGTTTGGACACTAAGAGAAAGAAAAGTAAACAATGAGAGGAGGAGAGATATGCTGTAATATGGCTTACAACCAAGTATTTTTCAAGGAAGACTGCTTTTAGATGTGTCCACTCACTTTAGTTTGAAAGTGTGTCTTGAAACTTTTACATTATCTGGTAGTCCTATAATAAAACACAGCTAAACCCGTTATGTTTCAACAAGTAAACCACAATTATACTGTATACAAAAAAGAGGTTACAAATGTAATGTAGTAAAGGGCATGAGAACTCTGTACAATAGAAATTCTCCAGAGTTCAAGAAGCACAACAGACACCATTATGGCCAAAAAATTTGTAAAAGAGAAAAATGTTTTTGTTCTCACCTGCTGGTGTTGCTGCATCAAGACAAACTGACTCTCCAGCTGTTCCAGCATAAGTTTCTGTGCTGGATTTAGATTATTTCGGTTTGCACGCAGCTGTTCCAAGTGCTGAAAAAACATCAGTACAGTTGAGAATAATTAAAATTGCATTTGCTTTTTAACAACTTTCTTGCATATAATACTAAAAATTATTCACAAAGACCAGACTTGTAAAGTAGAAAACACGATTGAGATTTGTTGTAAACATCTTTCCATACGCTATTCTGTAACCGAACCTTAACAATAGTTACTAAAACTAGAGACTTCCTAAATTATTTGAGCATATAAATATTATCAGGAAACTAAATTTAAATGTACTGGTACTGTAAAAGAAAACAACATTCAAGTAAGATTACACAGAATGCATATTATGCATGTTTTAACACTTTTTGGTACTGTGCTATTTTTTTATTAATACTGTTCAGCATGAATTAAATTCAACCTATAGTCACACATGAAAACTTCTCCAGAAAATATAAAAAAAAATCCCAGAAAACTATACAGCTTAATTAGAGAGTAGTATCTGAAGTTATGATACTGAACACATTTGCAACTGATAAATGTAAGTACCTAATATCAAAAATCTGATCTTTGTATTAATTTTAACCTTCTCAGTACATACCATCATTCCACCAGTAAGTATGCTGCTACTAAATGGTATACAAATGCTGAAATTGTGGAATACAAAGGGTGTGTGTGCAGAGGAGGACAAAAGTTGCACTACACAAAAGGTGACAGACATTATAGACATTTTTCTTGATTGTTCTTAAATACTAAGTTACTTCACACAATAATACTTTGCATTGTAAATCCTTTTAACAAAACAAACAAAAAAAACCCCCAAAACTAAACCCCAAACAATCAAAAAAAAAAACAACAAACCAAGCCCCACCAAAACCAAACATAAATCACATTTCCTTTAGTTCCTTTCAGGTCTGCATGTATTGTCTTTCTACATCCTTCTTGTCTCCTTTGCTTTGATTACGCTGTATTAGTAATACATAAATGGACCTGAAGTATGAGTATGAAATAAAGCGTAGTTCATTCTGCTTTATTTGCAAACTATCAACTAAAAATATTCAACATCGCCTGAAAAAGTGGTTAAAGACGGTTCACACCAAACTCCCTGGATTAACACCAGCTTCCATTTTGAATTTGAAGTCCCTCTGTAGGCAACTGCAGTGAATAAGACTAATTTCTCAGTATAGAGAGATATATACATATGAATTTAAGATGAAAACAGGGTCTCCATGGGAGTGCATGCACCAGATACACAAAAGTCAAAACCATTGCTCTTCAGTTATTCTGATTTTTAAAAAATGTCTAAATAGGGTAATCAGAAAGTCTGACTTAGCACACACCAGCAGAGGCAAGTCTGGGCTTCTCTCTAATGCTATGGGTGCAGAGGCTTTACAGGCAGCACTGTTCTTCCTGCCCACCAACTCTGTGAAACCAACACCCATTCTCCTCCACTGGTATGCTGCAGCCCCGTTGGCTACTGTGTGCCCACAGCCCCTTCCCCTTCTGTTTTTGTTAGCTAAGCCATTTGGTGTGTGCTATATGCCATATCCACCCAGTCTCTTGAGTTGCTTTTAAAAGGCTGAGTTAGAAGATGCAATAAAGGTTTTATTCACTCTCCTCTTGCATCGTATCTTTTTGGCTTTCCTATTCATATATGCTAGAACCTTGTCAAGCTACTACCAGTAAATCCAGTATATCGTACTTAGCTAGAGAAGCCAACTTAAGATGCTTCGAGGAAGAAGTTGTATCTGGAAAAGGTGAAACTAAAAAGAGGAAAAAGTAGTAGGATATAAAATAAGCAGAGGGAAATAATGAGAATGCATGAAGAAAGAGACACAGAAGAATGATTAGGAAGGAACAAAATGGTGGGGGGAGAGAGAGGGAAGAGAGGGAAAAATTATGCAGCGTAATAAAGCCAATATTGTCCAGATAGAGAAACAGCTGAAGAACTATAAGGGAGTTGAGGGGAACACTGCTCAGTCAAATCAGAATGCCTTCTGTCTCTGCATTGCATTCCTTTGTATTTTTCCTTGCATCCAAATCAGTATCTGTGATACATGGGTAAAGAGTTTCCAGCTAGGCCTGATTTTCAAAATACAGAATTCCTGCTGAAGCTCACTGCAAGCCCTAATGAACTGAAGAGACAACAAAACATTGTAACAAAAAAGACCTAAAACAAGATTTCAAAAATAAAACCTCGCATTTCATGTATTAGATGTTGTAAAATATAGAAAAGCGGTGCCAGATTTCATTCTGTAGAATGTGCATGTTTGTTTACACAATTTGATACAAGAAGCTACCTCAGAGGAAAAAGAGGATATTACCATACTTCTACAAATCCTTCAATATCCCCCACATTACAGCAAGCAGTAAAACTCACTTGGTACACAAATGCGACAATTTGCATATCTATCTTTAAAACATCATAAGAAAAAAGAATTACTGTATGTTCTTACTTTATAAATTATAGAATTCATACAATGTAAGTGTTCAGTTTCTGCCAGAGATCACTTATTTTACTACAGAACTAATCTCACATAGAGAAGCCATAAATATCAGCACAACTTGAATTGCACTGTGGGAATTATTTGGGAAGTACTTCACACTGAATTTCAGAAATGTGAAACTGAAAAATGTTCCAGATTTATTTTCCTAAAAGGAAAAGAGGACAAAAACTGTATGAAAGATTCTGAAGATCTTCAACATACCTACCTGTAATTTCTGTGGTGTCAAGCACCAAGAATGAATTTGTTGCTGTACAGGAGGATGTGACACTGTATGGCCACTGCTCCAAACATCTGAAGTATTCTGAGAGAAAACATTACATTAAAATACGTGAGTATCAAAGGGTCAACATAATTTCTTTTACTACACAGATTTTGTCTTACTTATGAAAGAATTAAAATGGTTTCAAGAATAACAATATAAACAAAGAACGTACTACAACACACCAATTATCATTCTACCATTCCCATACAGTATTAGAGTAGTCAGAGGAAAAAGTTAAATGATATCTTAATATCGTAAGGAGCAACAATCAAATCAAATTATGCAATTAACTTAAACACTATTTTAAAAACTGAGTATCTACTGTAACACTATTACATGATGATGAAACACTTGAATTCTAAATATAAGCAAAGGCAATAGACAGGATGACATGATTGTCTCCCTCTCTATCATCAGACTATGACTGCACTTTTTCACTTATACGACTAGGATTGTAGTATAGTGCCAGCGATCTGCATTGCCCTTATGCACTTCCTATATGAATTGTAATCTGATTAAAAACATCACTGAAAAATGTTTTTTAAAATTCCTAAAAACATTCCCCACCTTGATGCCAAAGGATTAAAATTTACTGCACAAATTCTGTGCATGCTGCATCATTTTAATGCATATTTCCATATAATTTTGGTAGGGGGCTCTTTAGTTCATCAGAATATATACCTTTGTTGGACTAGATGTTCTTTTCCTCTTGGCAGGACTGGTCAGGTCATCTACTTGGCTAGAAGGAATCATGTGTAGTGGCAAGGATTGCTGTGAAATTGGTGTTTGAGTGAGGCCTAGTACAGGTTCAGTATTTGGATGATGAGGTTTACAAGCCTAAGAATCACAGAAGGAAGACAAAAATATGGTTCTATATATTCTTAATTCTTTTCTTTAAATTATATATTTTAACAGCCCACATACATTAAAAGGGCCGAGTAGATATTCTGAAGCTGATCTCAATAACTGAAAAATCAGTTTCCATATGGTCATCAATGGAGGAATGTGTACCTTTCATGGGATCATTAAACCACTGCAGCATTTCTATTTAAGATGAAATCTTTTAAAATCATGAATATCCACAAAGGTTCTAAATTGGTACCCCCATATTTCTCCCATATTATAGGGAGCTTCTTGATCTAATATCCCTTTGCAAATAAATAAAAGGCTTTTTATTAACAAAAGCCAATCCTGTGCTCAATAAAATAAGCTTGACCACTACCGATTGTAAAGAACCCTTAAAGCTGGGCACCTGCAGAATATAACCCAACTTCTCACCTGCTGTGCTGTGTTCATGGCACCCTGCCTGGAGGTAAGCTCTGCGGGGATTGGTAGGCTCCATGCCTCCTCAATACTAGGAAGTAATTTAGTTTTATTCTGTAGACTACCTTGTGGAAGGTTACACAACTGAGCCTAGGAAAAATTATGTAAAAAGCAAATTTAACACAAGCCTACTTTAGTAAGAGCAAGTCCATGAAATCTTCCTAAATGCTGTAGCTAATTATGTCTTAAAGAGAGGATAGATTTAAAATTTGGGGTTTTAGAAAGGTGCTAAGTATAAAGAGGGTAACCAGAATATAAACCTTTGTGAGAATCAGAACAAAGATGAGCTCTGGATTCAGAGGTCTCATAATTCCTTTTTTCTGAAATTGCAAACAAGAGTGAAAGATAGTGTGTGCGTATTCTCTCTATATGTTATGAGAACTTAAAAATGTAGACAATACAAAGAAAAAAGCAAAGTGATGTAAAACAGTATGCTTTGATTAAATGTGCAAAATAGGGTTTGTAAGGAATTAAGTTCCACTTAAAAATGAAGAAATAATATTACAGGCTATGATATGTTTACAATACACATGAAAACAGGTTATACACACAACAAACAATTGCAAATTATACTTGTGTGTTACTTCTCCCCACCCCTCTGCTGTGTATTTGGAAGAGTATTTCCCGCTTCTTAAAACATTAGTTTTACCTGTAAATACTTTATCCGTGCTGCAAGTGCAGAGGTATTATTACAATTTTTGCTCCTAGTTGCATTTAAGTAGCATTTAATGGCATCCTGAGGCTGGTTGCAGGACTCATAGAGTGTGCCTAGGTCCATCCAGGCTGCAGCATGGCCATGGTCCAATTGTACAGCACAGATATAGGCCTGTAAAGCATCCATAGGCTGATTTTGCTGTTGATACAGCACACTGAATAGAAAGATTAGTGAAGTTGAGAATTAATAACAAAGTCAAAACACAAACAAGTCAAATATACACATCCCCCTCAAAACCCTTAATAAACTCTACCATTATATAAACCACAGTACTAAGTATAAACAACATGAAATCTTAAGATGCAAAGCTCATGTGTATAGCATATTCAGTATTTTAAAAAACTGAGAAAGCAAATATAAATTAAACTTCAAATCAGACAAGTCTGACAACATGAAGGTATAAATAAAAAAGCTTTACGGTCCCCTTGAGAGCACAAAAGAGTTAAAAAGCTGATATTCTTTATTTATGTATATATATTAGCATTGAATTATATCACTGTATTACCCTGTATCATTCTTACCCTATAGAACACCATGTATCTGCACTTGCTTCTGATTTATCAATAGATTGCCTATAAGATATAAAGGCATCCTGAACTTTCCCAATACTTGAATAGCACCTGGGAGAAGAAGAAAAGAACTTCGGTAGTATTTATAGAAGGTAATCATTGAGGATGGTTTACCAAGACTGATCTGATAAATATTAAGTCATGCAAATACACACTCATCTAGATGAATCCAAAACATTTTCTGTTTCTGACGCTAAGCATAAGCAGACTCAAACATCTTAATCAACATGTATTACTATTTGAAAAGTACACCAAAACTGCATAAACCCTAGCTTACTGCATTAGTAAGGAAGTCATACCATATTTTAAAGACTTACATTTCTTTCATTTGTGGTAATTTATCAGTCAATATGAACAATATTTATCTACAGCTAGAATTATAAAGAAATAATTAAGTTACCTATTTCATCAAACAAATGGTTATGAAACTTCATGTTCTACAAGAAGTGTTTCAGAATTATTAAGAGATATTGACCAACTCAGTCACAATGGTTCCTATTCTCTGGGAAACTGTTTATGTGCATTTCTCACATCTCAATAAGATTTGAAGTCACGAACAACAATCAGTTAGTTTTACTGCGTATATAAAGCACAAAATCTTGTAAAAAATCTTGCTGGTCTGGATTTTTTTTGTAGTTTCTTACTTGAGTATTTTTCACATACAAATTTTAAGGTATTCTGGCACTATAAGCAGAAATATCAGAGCTCTAAAGAGAACTACAATTATACCACAGGGAATAATACCTACCTTTTCAAAATTAAAAGCTTCAAATAAATACAATATTAAAGATATATATACTTTTACTGGTTTAATCTACAATAGCTCTGCTTCTTACACTGTTTGTAGTAAGTTTCCCTGTTGGAGAAAGAACTGACAACTTTCAAACCACATAAATAACAGAAAATTTATTCTAGTAAAAAAATAAAAACCAAGCAGAACAGTACACCCAAAGGTTTGACAAAGATGCTATGCTCTTTCTTTCTACTTTGCTTAGAAACAGGCATTAAGTCTGAATAAAATGTTTCAGAAGATCACTTTAATCCCAATCTAAACCCAAGTTGCAACAGACACATTTCAACCTGTCTGCTTAACAGATACATGAAGACTCTTACCAGGATAGCACCAAGAATAAGCACCCAATAAATCTTAAAACAGGGTGAAGGATTTATTTTCATTGAGGGAAGAGGGGGGTGGTGGTGGTCTATTTTTGAAAGGTAACTTTAAACCAACTTGCTATGCAGTTTGGACCACGAGCAGAGGAAGGAATAACGCAAGGGAATACATGAGGAGGGAAAAAGAGTAACAGTGAACGCACAACCCTGTAATCCTGTTCCTTTCCTCTTCTGCCAGTGTATGGACTGGAGCAATGGGGAACAGAAACGTGTTTGCTCTAGTCCTTCCTGTAGAGTATTAGAGATGCTTTTACTAGATTTCCCCCCTCTATTTCCTGTGGTTTTCCCCCTTGTTTGTATGGTCCTAGGTTTCACTCTAACCACATGAAAGCCATGGCACAGCAGGAGCACAGCAGCTGCTCACACATCCTTCGTGGAGTCCTGGCTTTGTCCTGCTTAGCTCAAGGCATGTGGAATGGGACCACCGAGGAAAAAAAAAAGGATTTCAACCCAGTGGATGGTAAGATGAGCCAGATGATCCCTGACTTGTTTTCCCTTTTCCCTCCACACCTGCTCTCGACCTCTGCCCTTCACACTCACTGCCAGTGTTTCTCCCTTAGCCTGCCAACAGCTGGCTGAAGAGCCCTGTCTTACAGGAACAGCTGGAGGAATATAATTAGGATGACAAAACCAAAAGTAGGTTCCAGTTGTATGCGACCAGAACCTCCAAGAAAGTCAGCTAGGAGATACTGAGTTTAGGGTATTAATTTTGGTTTTGCATAATTCCTTTCTAATGTATTTCTCAACAGAACTGACCTGTTCCCACATGGACTTGAATTGCCCTCAAAGCTTTCTCCAAAACCTGATTATTTCAAGAGTTAGTGATGATTTGTCTGAAGTACTCTATTTTCTTAAAAAGGAGACCAAGAGAAGTCACCAAATTTATATGATTTACATCTTGGAGTAAGCTAACTTTCAAGTATAAAATACCATCTGATAGTACAGAATTAATACAACACTTAAACAGATATTAGAATGGATCAGAGCTATTTTGTCCTAATATTTAGTTGCAATATATGCTCTTTATAAACAGATTTATACCTGGGAAGATATTTGTATTTTAGTGCAAAGTTTGATTAAGATTAGAAGGGAGATCTTGAGAAAATAAAGAGATAAAGAATTGTGAAAAGGTATGAAGAGAAGTAACAACAATTATAGTGTTTACCAAAAAAGAGAGAGAGAATAGATGTGGTAGTAGTAGGAAGAACAGGTAAAACCTATTACTGTAAATGTGTAGACTAAATAACAACTACAAAAAAAAGCAGGACCACTTGGATAACATGCTTCATTTCAATTTCTTATCTATATTCACCCTAAATATGTTAGCACCTTGTCTTTCTATATACTTTCCAGAAAACTAGACTTTAGATACATATATCATTTCCCTTCATTTTTCCTCTGAAACTATTAAGAAGAAAACCAACATATGATACTCACAATAATGAGTATCCTCAAATAATTTACAAATATAGTTACAGTGTCAATAAAGTCATTTCTCACCTTCCAAGGAAATACCAGGATTGACCAGAATTTGGATCTGCTTCTAAAGATTTCTGGAGATACTGTATAGCATAGCTTTCCTTGGTTGCCTTGTCTCCAAGCTGATCCACGGTGTGATGCATCCAGCCTACAAAAACAATCCATAAATGGCAGAAGTGAAATTCCCTAAGACCATTTAACACTTATGGCACAGCAGGATATTCACAGCATTAGTTCCTCTTCAAAAATAAGAATATCTAACAATAATATCACTTACATAGAATCTTAAGAATTAAACTTTAAAAACTTTCAAAGTTCTATACTAAAATTACAGGACAAAAGGACCCTAAATCAAAATTACTTTCAGGTGCTTCTAAGCAGGTTTTTTGGTTTAAATAACTTTCTATGAGGTTAGTAGCACAATTATGAACTGCTCAATCTTTTACCATAAAAAGTTAATCTGAAAATGTTAACTCCTTCCTCCCCTGAACATAGCTACCTTCCCTGTCATTGTGAAAAATGCCACCATTCTCCCTGTCACACACGCAGATTATCTGTATATTATGTTCAATTTATTCCTTTTCTTCTAAATCCTCGTATTTATCTCATATCTGTATTTGGACAATTTTCCAACAGAACACTTAGGAATTTTTATGTCCCCAGTTAAATGTTTCTTACACTGCCATTTCATCTTCGTTGCTGCAGTATCCTTTCCATTCACCTTGACAAATGCAATCACAACTCTTATCTACGTAACAAATTCTGCTGAAAAGATCATTTTATTTCCTCATCTAACCACACATCATATTCTTTCAAATGCCTTTTTTTCTTTCATTACATTAAACGAAGTATTCATCCCCACTTTAAAGACATCCCACAATCCATGCTTCCATATAATCTTTTACATGCTATTAAAAGGCTCTCTACTCTAGCACTGAGGCAAGGCTTGGTTACAATATCAAATAAAGCACCTTCATCACCTTCTCATGCTGGTCCTCATCTGCCTCTATGCTTAGATGGAATTCTTTTAAACAACCACAAAATCATCTCACTGCCATTCGTACTGAGGAGTACAAGGAAATGCTTTGCAGCAGGCAGCTGGCTTGCTGAAATCATTACACACCACACTGGTCAGCGATGTCTTGTTGTTTGCTTAATCTCCATGTATTTGTCCTAACAATCCACTGCTTTTCACCCAACATTTGTTAACGCTAAGATGTGCCAATGGATTGTCCCTATGTTTTCATAGCATCCCTCCCATAAGCAGTCCCTTGTGAAACATTATGATAGCAACTTCATAAAATATTCAAGGTTTGTATGAAGTTGTAGTTACTTACAGAGTTGTAAATCTACAATATATTTCCACTTAAAACCTCCATCAGCTAAACTTGAGCACCCTAAGCTTATCTCTTCTGATACAGACAGGTAATACCACCCAAAAGATCCAGATCAGATTCAGATCTCATCTGAAATGCTAAACAAAGTAGGGAAGGCTGAGAACTGAACTGATGACTATTTGCATCCTTATTTCATCCTCTGTAATTAAGACTGTACTTTAAATATTTTATTCTATCTGTTCTATACAGTTTATTTTTTATTCCATGGGCTCAGTTTGTTAACAGTCACATCAACACTTCTGCAAATGGAAGGCAAACTTCCAAGCTTGAGAAAAGGCAATCTAGAAAAAAATTGTTATCTATTGAACAACATTTGCCTGAGGTGTTTTAAGTAGTATCTTTTGGAAACTGGTCAGAAGCAGAAGTTTGAATATTTCATGGACTGCAAGAAATGTCAGGTTAGGACCCACGTGGTTATAGTGCTGGGAAAAAAAAAAAAAAAGAGAGTACTTTATCTTGTCTGAAGAGGGATCAAGTCAAAACCTCACCCATCAGGAAAAAAAAAAAAATCGATAATTTTTGCAGAGACACGTAACAAACAACTTTCATGGACTTCATAAACAATGATATTTGATTCAAATACCAAGTTACTGAAGTTCTTAAGCATACAGAAAATACTCATGTTTTAAGAAAGAAAGGCTTATGTGAAGGTGGTTATCAGAATACACCTGTGCAACTGTACATTAACGATAAATGTATTTGGTGCAGTGCTAGTCAAAACCTGAGATAAAGGTACTAGTTCAGGGATTATAAACAAGGGTAAAAAACCCCCAAAACTAAGAACTTCCTGAATCTTTGGAAATGTGTGGTATGCCTATTTTCTGTTTCATTAGAACCTTGCCAGATTGAAAGATAACATGTTGTATCTTCAGGAGATTTTTACTGGGTTCACTGATAAAAAGAAAGAATCTACTTCTATGAGACAGAAATGAGAACTAGCAATCCCTATCTAGTTTCACTGCTGAAACAAGGGTTAATTCCTGATTTTATCTTCCTGCACAGGGAGGTGAAAAAGGCAGAAAGCAAGAAAAAGGAGTGAGGGAGAACAAAGAAAAGTTTTGTACTACAATAGCACAAATAAAGGAAACTAGATTTCTCTTCTCCTCACACATAAAATGAAAAATGTACAAAAAGGTGATAGAAGAACCCTGGTGATCTGTAGTTTCCCATTTGCAAGATCTAACTCAAACTCTCAACTAGCATATTGGCTACTCTTCCACTCTTGGGACATTTTTAACGTATTAAACAGAAGCGCAGATTTTGGCCATACTTCACAAATGTTCTATGCTCTTTTCCAGGTCTTTACAATCTACTTAGTAACAAATCCCTGTTTTGCCTCAGCAGGAGGATGTGCTAACCTAGCTCATGCTGCAGGAGTTTTTTATGCTTATCAATCACTCTCATGCTGCACTTGTGACAACTGCTTTTTCCCCAATAAATGTCATCTCAGTCTCTGAAGAGATGAGTCTCTTCCCCATCTCATCAGCATCTCATGATGTCTCATACAATTATGTGGACACCACCTAGGAATGCCCCTCGTCAAAAATCATTGTGAGAGTGCTTTGGCAACCTCTAAGCAGATGCTTACATCATTCTTGCACTCTTCCTTATGCAACTGCTGAGTACAAGTGGAGAAAGTATACCAGGACAGATTTGATCTTCAGTCTCATTAATTTAATGTAATTTTAGGAAAAGCAGTGAAAAGCTAATGGAACAGAACAAAAGATAAACCAAACTGCTCTTATCCAACTGTACAGATTTTACTGTTACATCTACCTGAAATAGTCAGCATGCATCAACTCAAACGGATATATATATATATAGCAAAGATTTTAACAGTTCTCTCACAAGACATCTGAACTTGCCTAAATTTCAACTCTGGCTCAGTAAACATTAACTAGCTAAGGAAAATAAAAACAAAGGTTATTTTCATCCAAAGATGTTTTTTTTCTGTTGGGAGTATAAAAAGTAAGAAGAGTTCAACATAGAGATAACAAATACATCTTGATTGGGTTTTGCTAGTAGCATTCTGGCAAATGACAGGTATTTTTAGTTTTTTATTTAAGCAGCAGTGCACCACCCAGACTATGCATCCTGAAGAGGTGCTTTTATTACCAGCTGCTAGAGACTAAATCTGCAATAAACACCATACTCTGATAAATACCACTGTTAACAGTGAGGAGTAAAAGAAATGGTATTATTCCTTGAATGTTCTGGTTAAGACCACTCTACCCCTTTCTCTACAGAAGCTACCTATACTACAAAACTAGGTGACCTGCGCTGACTTGAATCAAAGGAGTTAAACCAGTTTTTAGATAGCAGACAATTCACAAAGTCATTGCTCTTACTGCTAGCACAGAGACCTGTGGCAGGATTTCATTAATACAACCACGCACCTTTGCCTCTATTGTGGCAACATACATCAAACAAAGCTGAAAAGGCACTGGTCAGCTATTTTGGGAAGCCTGTCTTCCACTGATCATATGTGGATATCATATTTCCAGATGGTATTGCTGAAAATTTATACTAGGTGGGATAATATCAAATCAAAAAAGAAATCAAAGAGGATAGTGAAATATAAGCAATGCTGCCGTGCAAGAGCAAAACAATCAGCATCTAGAGTCCTGCAATGAACTCTTCTAGCAGTTTCATTTGTGACTTCACACAGAAGAACCAAAAGCTAAACAAATTAGCCCACTCTAAATCCATACACAACCTCCATTACAAAAAAAGAAATCACTGTGGCCATGACTTAGTGCCAGTTACTAATTTGAATTAAATGACCACTATGTGAAGGG